GTTTCCCTGATCCTCATTGCCACCTCAGGCAAATAGGACTTTTTTTTTCCCCCCAACAAATATCCTGGGACTGTAGCTTTTCCCACTGTGAAGTTCCAAGTTTAACCAAAAGCAAGCTGGGAATGGGGCGATTCCAAGAAGCTGTTAGACAGGTACCATCATGCGATCTTAGGAAGGGCTTGGAGGTGCTCCAGACCCTGCCTGCCTCTTCTTGTGACTGCGAGGTGCAGGATCCAAGGCTCTGCACAGCCTGGGAGCCAGCCAGGGCTACGTCGAGTCTGAATGCCACAAAGCTTGGTTCCTGACAAGTTTTAGTGTTTTGTTTCTCTCAGTCATCTGATATGAGAAATCCTAAGATAGAGCTAGGCATATAGTTAGCACTAACTGAGTGTAGGCTTTATTTTTTTCTTTTATTCATCCTCATGGACTCAGTCTATTAAGAGAACAGGCTGAAAACAGTATGCACAAGGATGTTGAGGAGATTAAATGAAAAAAGATGATGTATATAGAGTAGATGCCAATGTCCCTGGCATGTTATTAGGAGCTTAGTAATGTTGATTGACATCTCCATCACTACCCATCACCACCACCACCATGATCATCATCATGACCATGATCACCACCACCACCATCACCACCACCATCTGCACCACCACCTTCACCACCACCATCACCACCATGATCATCACCACCATGACCAATACCACATCTCCACCACTACCACTATCTCCACCGCCACAGTCATCATCACCACCATCATCACTGCCCCCTGACCATCTCCACCACCATGATCATCACCATCATCATCAACATCATCACTGTGGCTATCTGAACACAGAGGTCATGTCTTCTTTCCAGAAGAATGGCCATCTGCTGGACCGTTTAACCTCCTGGGAACTGCAAGCAGAGACCCTAAAACCTTTATTTCCTCTCTGACATTGACTTTTGATTAAAGGCCTTTCCAACAGAAAAGGTGACTGAATCTTGATGACTTCTTTCCCTCTTCTATCTGCTTCCAAGTCTCAGCCATGCTGCTGAAATGCAGCTGGGTGCTGGCTCAACCCAGGAAGTGATTCTACAACTTTGCACAGAAGATAAACTCAAGGATAACTTTCAACGAGCTCCTTACCCTGTTCTGGGACAGCGCATCTTGGAGAGCAGAGATCAGGAAGTCTCCCAGCGGCAGTGGGGCCAGGCCACAGAAGCCACACTCCGGGGAGGCAGCTGGCCGCTGTGCTTCTCTGAAACAGCCTTAGCCTCCATGAACTGCAGAGCAGGGGCAGTGGTGGGAAGGTGGGGAGATTAGATAAGCAGGCCTTCCTGATCCCGGGGGACAGCCGGGTGGCCAGAGGGTTGGGAAGCCAAGCCCAGTGCCCTGATGTGGTCATCACTCAGCAAGGCCCGGTGTCTGAACAGGGTGTGGAAAGCTTCTGATTACAAGGACACTTGTGAAAACTGGCCGGCAGCGTGCATCCCGAGGGAGAAGGGGAAGATAAGTCCTCAAGTCCCAGAGTGCTTCCTGAGACCTTGTCTCTGGGCGGCGGCCCTCCGGGTGCGTGACTGAGCTGTGATGGCACGCTGGGCACAGTAGGTCCTCAGCATGCCTGTGCTCCACTGACCAGGTGGAGCCTGTCCGAAAGCTTTCCTCCACGTTTGACGAGGTATCATTCATGTGCTCAGCACATCTTCATCCAGTTCTTTCTGCATTTTGGGTCTCTGGTTAGGCTGTCTTGCATCACAGGATTCGGTGTCAGGCAGCAAAACTGATCTAACTTTGCTTCCCCTGCCACGTCACTGGTGCTTTCCGTTCCTGTGCCTGTGAGCTTGACATCAGTTTGCAGAGCCAGTGACAGGGAGAAATGGAGAAAGCCTCTGCCCCAGCCTGGCTGTAGAGGAAGAGAAGCCCCTAGAGGATTGAGTGTGAGCAGGAGCAGAGCTTCCCACACCGCCCCCCCCCCCTCGGTCGCCAGAGGTGGAAAGATGCCCTGCCAAAGAGGCATCTACCTCAGGGTGGGGCCCGGGCCTCTGCATTTCTACTCTGCTTCCCGAGGGTGCTGGTGCTGCTCAAGCACATTGGGAAGCTGGGTTCAGCAGAGCAGGGCTCCCCTGGTTGCTTTCCCTGTGCTGTCAGTCACTCTGGGCACGGTGGCCCTCTGAGTGTCTGTAACATGCTCAGAGGGTCGTGCTCTGAGGGTCTTTTTCTCCATCCAGAGGTGTTCGTAGACCTCTTTTACCCACCCTGAGCATCCATCTTGCCCCTCCCAAACACGATCTTGTCCAGTTAGATCTGCCAGTGAGGAGGTTTTGTGGAGAACCCCTCTCCATGGGGTCCCCCCCTCAAAGGGGTGATTGCCACTTGCATGGCTGCTGGGGCAGGCCCCGGTGTGCCGTGTTAAATCCAGGCATTTTCTTCCCTCTTCTTCCTAGCCCCTACCTAGGAGCTGAGCACCTGTGGTCCCCAGGTGAGCACCAGGATGGGGCAGGAGGCCATGGGGTGTGGGTGGAGATAGCCTCCTGGCCGCTGACCCCTCGACCCTGATGCTGAATGAGAGGTTCTGGGGGCCGCTGGGAAAACAGGTACACTGGCTGACGTGTGTGATTGTGAAATTGGGCTCACTGTGATGCTTCTCACCTGCACCCTTCCAGGGCTTTCTAACGGGGGCCCCCACATCCCATGAGCACAGCCACGCCGTGTGAGGGGCACACCTGATGGTGGGGAAGAGTAGTCTAGTGTCACAACCAGCTCTTCTGTGAGTGGCACCAGCAACCTTGGTGGGGGGTGGGGTGGGCAGTGCTGTGATTTGGAGCTGGATGCCCCCCAAAGGCTCATGGGGAGACACTGGTCTTACTGTGAAGAAGTTGGGTGTGGGCTGTGGCCTTGGAAGGGACCTGCTCCTCCTCTATCTCTGTTTCCCTGCTGCTGTGAGGCCGCGGCTCCCTTGTGCACTGCATGGCCTCTGCCGCCACAGGCCTAAGCCATGGGGCCAAGGAGGCTGACACTGAAACCTTGAGCTAGAATAAACCTTTCTTTGTAGGTTGATTGATGCAGGCATTTTGCCATGGCAATAAGAAGCTGACTAATAGGGCAGGAAGAGTTTCCTGCATCATCTTATTTTCTTAAGGCCTAGACCTATGAACTGAATTCACAAAAGACAGGTCAATGGGGAAATGTACATATTGTATTTGATGTAAGTATTTTTACATAACAAAGGGGGCTTCCTGGAAGAAGTGAAAACCTAAGGTTAGACTTGGGGGGTTTATATACTGTTTTAACAGAGAATGATAAACTGTGTGACAACAAAAAGATGCAAGGATTTTGGCTGGGATACTGGGGCAGGGTTACTGAATTGTGGAGAAGTAAGTAGGAAAAACATGAAGATAACTAAGGAAACTTAAGGGCTATTTTAGTGATAGTCATCAGAATTTCCACAGCACTGACTCCATCTCTGTTGGTGAGAACATTGCTGACAAAGGAAGGCACCCAATCTGAGCCCACGCAGCGCCTCCCAGCACAGAGTTCAGCCCCTCTTCTCCCATCATGGGAGGCCGCCAGGGGATGCAGTCTTGCAGGAGCTGCATCTGCTCTTTGTGGTCCTTGTCCTTTTCCTGAGATGGTCTCACCATGTAGCTCAGGCTGGCCTTGAACTCATGATCCTCCCCAGTGTGGGGGTGATAGGTGGGCACCACCACGCCTGGCTCGCCTCAGTGCTGGATGCTGAAAGCACCCATGGCACTAAACAGTTCATCCTCTCGGAGAAATTTCTTTCAGGCAGGGGTGTAGCCTGGGCGCAGTGGGAGATGGACATGAAACGCAGGAAACTCATATGCCAGTGGAAGCCTAGACTGGGCCTAGACAGACTGCACCTGGATTGGGTGGACAGGGTGCCCAGTCCACTGCTGTCACACCTTCTCTGGCCCTCGTAGGGGCTGCTGAGTCCTAAGGGGTCTAAAGTTGGCTCCCAGTGGTGGCCTATTGCAGGGAGCTGGTTACAGAGGTGCATTCCGGCTCCGTGACACACCCCAACTATGGAACCAAGACACCCCTGAACCAGGTGCAAACCACAGATGCACTTGTCATTGCTGATCTGCTGCCAGCAAATGTGTCCCATCCCGCACGGGTTGTGTGTCCAGAGCAGTGTGTTTCATTAGCAAGGGTGTCCGCTGGTGACTGTCAGTGGCCAGTGGTTCTGCGGGGGCGAATCCCAGTAGCTGGGACGACTCTGTGCTGTTAAAACAGCCTTCGCACCTGCTTAGGATGTGAGTCAGGACTCTCCCCTCGCAACCTGGATGGTGGTGAAAGAACCCACATCTGAAGACTTGCAGGAGAAATAGTCCCTGGAGAGTGGGCCAGCTGTCCCGGTCGGGGGCCACTGACATCGGCTGTCTCAGCAGCACTTTAGTGGACAGTGCCTAATGTCACTGCCCCTTCTAATCATCCCAAGAGGGACACAGGGGCCCTCTTGCATTCACTGAAACCCCACCGTCCCTGCCTGGCTTTTAGACAGACCGGAGCCGGTGCATGGTGCTGCCGGGCTGCAGAGATGTGCAGCCCATGAGAGCACAGTGCAAACCTGGATGTCATTTTAAACTCACCAGTAGCCAGGTTTTTAAAAAGTTTTTAAGAACTAATAAAATTAACTTGCTTATCTATCTTATTCAACCCGACATGCTCCCAGTATTATCATTTCAATTTGGAATTAATATAAAATGATGAGCCACATTGATTGATTTCTACTGTAATTGACTGGTAATTGACCTTCATACTGTGATGCTTGTATATATGTCAAAGTTCTTTCTGCAGTAGGACAGACTCTTTTTTTCCCCAAGTCTTCAAAATCTGGTATGTATTTTATATTTACAGCACATTTTAATTTAGAATTCCACTGAGAATAGATTTTCATGAAAAATATTTGATTTGTACCTATATTTTATAAAATTGACAACTAAAAACATAGATCTACATTGTCCAATATTTCCCAATAACTAATTTGGATGCCAAAAAAATCGTATTTTTTTTATTGTGTACATCTACATTGACCAAACTGGCTTACAATTTTTAGAAGAATTGATTTTGACTTTCAACCACAAGTATATTCATTTCCCAAGTCTGTTTTTCCAAGTTAAATAAAGGCACTAAGCCTTGAATCAAGTTAGAATTTGTATCAAATTCAAAGGTCCAGAGCACACACTGGCTTTATCAATACCAACAAAGCATTCTCTAAATTTTTTTCTTGTAGTTTTTTGCAGTCTGTTTGCAAAAGCTGTCAGCTCACTTAAAGTCTGTGCAGCGATGCGGGCTGAGTACTTAAATGCCGTGGCCGTGGGCTTGTGCTGTGAAGCGTGGTCTGTGGGCACTCCTCACCGTCCACAGCGTTCCGGAGTCTGCCCCTCCCTCTGGAGCTGTCACCAGCAGGCAGCATGGTACCACTAAGGACATCGCAGTGCATCTTCTTCGTTTGATGCCTCTTTTCATAGAGTCTGCTTCAAAACACTTCATGCAGATATTTTCAATATGCATTCGAGTATAAAACAAAACAATAGTTTTAAAATCCCATTGAGAATAGATTTTCCAACTCACAGCTAAAGTAGCATCCGTTGTGGCAGAAACTATTTTTTTCACACCTAGCTGAATCACTTTGACAGATGTAAAAGATTAAATAGTACATATTCTAGGAGTTCTTTTTTACAGGCTAAAAACTGACATTTCTTTATGAATTTGGAAACACTTTCACAGAAAACATAATCCAGAGTAGCAATTTGCATTTCTCTTTCCTCATCCAATGCTAAAGAAAAGTCCCTGCAGTTTTTCAAGTTTTAAAAATCAATTGATCTTTGACTTTATTTGAAAGATTTTTGTGTATAGACTATCAGTAACTAAAATAATAACTTTCTCTGTCAGTCTATGTAAAAATGGTTTGGTAGCTGCCCAAAGTTGTAAGACCAGATTCTATTAAAATTGTATAAACTTTTTTGTACTGCATTTAATTCTGGCAATGTTTGTCTCTCTCTCTGTCTCTGTGTCTCTCTGTCTCTTTCTGTCTGTCTCTCTCTCTGTCTCTGTCTCTGTGTCTCTGTCTCTGTCTGTCTGTCTGTCTGTCTCTCTCTCTCTCTTTCTCTGGTGCTGGGGCTTAAATCCACAGGCTTTGAACCGAGCTACCTCCCCAGCTCCTTTTTATTTTTTATTATGAGACACAGTCACACTAAGGTGCCTGAGCAGGACTCTAATTTGCAGTCTCCCTGCCTCAGCTTCCCAGAGTGCTAACACTGTAGGTGTGTTCCACCAGGCCTGATTTCATCAACTCTGGACTAATTAATTCCTGAGTAAAGAGAAGAAACTTTTAAAAATCCAAAACCCCTATGTATTTGCTGAAGATATCTTCCAATATTATCACTTTAGTGTGTTTCGTGTTGTTTTTTAACCCAAGACTCAGCTCTCCTGTGTGTGGCCCCGCCCATGTAACGTTCCTCTGCAGTTTGCAGTGTGCTTTCCTTCCGTCTCTGTCTCTGTCTCTTTCTCCATTTCTCCTCTGCTTTGGGAGGCTTCCCTTGGGCCAGTCACTACAGAACAACTAAGTCCTTTGGAATAGTGTGTGCTTAAATCAGTTTCTGTTTAGGGCTAAAAATAGGAACTCAGGATTTCAAAGCAGTGTTTGAGTCTACTAATCTGTGTGTGTGTGTGTGTGTGTGTGTGTGTGACACAGAGAGACAGGTACAGGGACAGAGAGGTTTGCAAGTCCATCCTGAGTAAAGACCAGGGCAGGTGGCAAAGGCAAGCACAGGAAGTCTCCATGTCACGTTACTCTCGGGGCCCGGGACTGGGGTGAGTTCCCGGGGTGCCCTCTTGCAGCCGCAGGTGTTGGCCAGGGTCAGCACACAGAGAGGAGGGAGTGGCACAGGGGTCAGGGCAGACAGTGGAGGCTGCAGCCCCCAGGGATGCTCCCAGTTTGATCACCTTCCCCCCTCCTCTTTAATTTTGCCACTGCCAGGTGGAAATAGGTACACTTGGTACCGAAAGCCTCAAGCATCATGGATATAATTAAATAGGCAGCAAACAAATGGTGTGGGGGACAGGCTGGGGGTGGGTCCCCCGTGGAGGCACGCCCAACCAGCCCCAAGGGCAGCCAGGCTGAGCTGAGACGCGGGATGCGGGGCTCCTCCTAAGGGGGAGCAAACCTGCTTCGGAGTCAACACAGCCTCCTGGGGTGGCCGCAGTGCAACACTGAAGGCCACTGTGCTGCCTGACTGTGGACAATGGGGGACTTAGTTATTCTGCAAGATGGAGACAACGCTAGCTAACTACTGTGTCTGTGAGAACACAACGAGACACTCCTCATGGGAGTACTTAGCATAGCACCGCACACTGATGCTAGCCGGTACATGGGATCTGCTGAGTGGTCCCTGGCCTCCTCAGACTCTGTGCTGAACTTCTTGTGAGTCTCTGCTCAAAGAGCTTCCCAATGGCTAGTGCTTAAAAATGTGTGGTGCAGCCGGGTGTCGTGGTACATGTCTGTAATTTGTGCACTGGGAGGCTGAGGCAGGAGCTACACAGTGAGTTTAAGGCTACACAGTGAGTTTAAGGCTAGCCTGTGCTACATTTTCAAAAAGAAAAAAGAAAAAACAAAGCTGTGCATCTCCTTAGGGTCACACTAGCATTCCTGTGCGAAGTTCAGCAGCGGCTTTGTGTTGGAGCTCACGGTTACCATCTAGTTAGAGCTGAGAGCGTTATCCTAAGAGTCCAGCTCTTGCTTCACTGGCCATGCAGAGAATTGGTTAGGGGGAAGCGTGTGCACAGAACCACACCACCTCCACCTTCCATGCAGTCCTCGTGGACGGGGTGAACAGAACCTAGTCCCGGACGGCCATTAATCCCAGAGTAGTCTGGAACAAGCCTCCTGCTTCTCCTTTGAGATATTGCTGGAGGCTTCTCCACTGCGGCCTTTAAGGAAGTCCTCACTGGGAGGCGTCCTGCTCCAGGCGCCTGACACAGGCTCCCCTCAGTCAGTGTCGGCCCTAGCTGGGTCCTCTAGCCTTCGCCCTGCACCTTTCCATGTGGGCCCGCAGCGTGGCACTGTGGCACTGTTTCCCTCTTATCTAATTCACACTGAGTCTTAGACTCATGACCAGCAGGTGAATTCATGGTCTGCGCGCGCACCTGCACGCACCTGACTCTTCCTATGCCTCCCGGATCCGGTGCACCTGTTCCTTTAAGTCCTGCTTTGTCCCCAACTCTCAGGACTGCAGGTCCTGACAGCTTAACCCCTGCCTCAGGAGACAGGTGTCCAGGTGCTTGGGGGTGAGGATTCTGCCCTTCCTGTGGACCCAGAGGAGGATCCTGGTCTCTTTTATCTGAAAATGACTCTGCTGCCCTCCTACCTCTTATCTCCTGGAGTAGGGAGGACCCTGACGACCCTGTGGAACAGACTGAAGTCCTCTTTCTGTTGCAAATCAAAGCCCAGCCCTGGCCGAGTGCTTTGAAATCAGACCCTCCTAAACACACCTGGAGCCAGGCTAGCTGGCCTCGGGTCCTAGACTGACCGCACACAAAACTGAGGGCAAAGGTGAGCTTCCCATTTCTTCTGCAGGTCCTGGGGTTCCTTTGAAATCCTCCTGAACCCTCCTTCGGGGACCACATAGACAGCCTGAGGAAATCCTAAATACTGCTTTCTCCAGATAAGCATCCGGGCTCTGCTGCTTCCCGCTGGAAAGAGCTTGCCTGAGTAGAGGGTAGGCCACCAAGACACAACACACTGAGAGGGTGGGGGCTGCCCCTGGGGTCACAGACCTTGTGGGCACCCGGGCGGGGCCGGCGGGGGCGGTGAAGGAATCCATGAGATCGGGGTCCAGCAGCCTCTTGGAACCAGATCTACAGCAGCCACACGTCTGCGAGAGCAATGTTTCTGTTTTGTTTTGTTTTGTTTTAAGAAAAAATGTAACACTAGAACAGAGTTCAGCAGGTTATTAGGGAAATTACAATCCTTAATACATTTCATACAGGCATGGTAGCTGTAAAACTAGCTTAACTATCTTGAGTGCAGATGTATTTTTTCCTTTTTCTCTTTCTTCCTTTCTCCTTTGCCCATCACAGTTTGTCTTTTCTTTTGAACAATTTCTTCCCAATTCACAATATTTATTATATATCTTAGATCTTATTTAGTTTTTTATACTAGCGAGGCTGTACACTGTTTACACATGTGGGTCTGATTTATTCACTTATAAGTATGGTTTCTAGTCGAATCAATTTACCTGTAAAGGTCTCAAGTTTATCCTTCTTTACTCCATTGTAGTAAAAACCACCTCCTTTTAACATTTCTTCTCTTACCTCCAGCTACATCATCAATGTGAATTTTCACAACTTTCCTATGCTAATTATCTTTAATTAGCAAGTTGCATTTTGGTGTATTTAATGTTATATTTTAACAAATTCTGGTTGATTTATAGCTCATGAAAGTATTCTAATAACAATAGGGAAATGTTTACTTTTTACTTACCTATTAGTTAAGTGAGATCCTTTGAAGAGCTGTGTAGCTATGCACAAGACAGTTGCCAAGCAGCGTGTGAGGCCCTGGGTTCGATCCCCAGTGCTACAAAAAAGAACAAACCTGAACATTTTTATTTTAGACAGAGAGTTTTACAAGTGTGGAGTTCCAGGAATGGGGAGCTGTGACACAGGAAAGGGCTACTGGGTTGAAGAACTGGCCCGTGGCTCCACAGCTCTAAGTTCATGGGGTCATCAGACTACAATGTCCACCTACCAGCATATCCTCATAACGTCCAAGCAACATTTCTGTGAGCCCTGCACCCTGGCTTTGTGGATCCCTTCTCTCCGAATTCTGCACAAATTCTCCCCGAACCTCAATGACCAGTGCTGCCCAGCTGCAGGCACCCAGGTGGCTCTGAGCCTGTGGTCCTCTCCTCCAAGGCTGCCCCACGACCAGCTGTGGGAGTAGTGGCCTCAGTGTGTTTCTGCCCCACCTTGGTGTCTGGCCCTCGGTGCACCCATCCACAAGGGGCTCACTGGAGTCCCCACAAGGCCCACTCTGTCTCGGAAGACCCCGCCTACTTCTCTTTCACAGAGGAAGCCGTTTCCAGTTCAGCGGTGATAAAGCAGAGCCTGAAATGTGATTATTACGGCTGAAAAGACCCGGGCCGTGGACGTGGGCCTGGAACAACTTTGCTCCCCACAGGATTCAGGAGCTGCTGGATGTAGGCAGGCAACGGTGGCTCACCCGTCAGACACTGAGCGTCAGGCAGGCACTGGGCAGGACACTTGGCATTGCGTAAGCGGGAAGAGGCTGTCACCTGCTCGGACCAGGAGAGTGCAGTGTCCAGGAGCCTGGATCAGCCCCTGCAGGGGAGGGAGTCCAGCCCTCCGGTGGGGCTGATTGCTGTGGTCATTGCAGCTCACCAAGCGTTTACCGTGCCTCTCCCAGGCTGAGGACCTGGTGTGCGTCGGCTCCTCTCATTACAACGGCACATCTGGGGTCCGGCCTTCCTCCCCGCTTCCCCGGAGGAGATCACGTGACAGAACTAGCATGGAAAAGAAGGGTGCGGGAGAGCCTGGTCAGGAGGAGGTGCCAGTTAGCGGGTGCCCCTGCCTGTGCGTGGGTGGTTGAGGTATGGATCTCGAACAGTGTCCCCTCAGTCTTGTGTTCAGGGGCGGGACCTGTTGGAAGAGGTGGGCGCTGGGGGCGTTGGGGCCTCAGAGCAGGAGATCAGGTTGAGAATGATTGGCAAGGGCAGCTGTCAGGTGCAGATGACCAGTCCCCTTCTGATCGTGATGGAGGAGGGGAAGGACGGCTGACCCGGGAGGTAAAGGTGGGGATGCATGGGGACGCAGGAGCTGGGTATCCTGGGAAAGTCCGCTGATGGTGGCAGGGAAACGGTGAACAGGTGGCTTCAGAGGTGACTACAGGTTCTGTCCTCAGGGCCTGAGTGATGGTGTGGACTCCTGAGCTGCCCGGTCCCTGCGTGCACATCCCCGGGAGATGGATCTGTGCCCCAGCATGAAAACTCTTAAGGCAGGCGGGCATGCTGCCCAGCAGTGAAATAATCTTCCACTTAAGGGGTTTCAGTCACCCATCAAGGAAGTTGTGCAGGAGGCTTGTTTAGGTGACTTCTCGGTCCCTTTGAGCACAAAGGAGTTCATGGATGTATGACGAGTGGAGTGGAGGAAAGCCAGCTTGAGTGTTATGCTTTTCCTTTTTCTTTTTGTACCAGGGATCAAAATTGCAACCTCATGCTTACCAGGCAGCACTTGAGCCGCTGAGCTGAATCCCCGGCCCTTGGTTTGGGCGTTGCTGTGAACTGTCCCACTTTTTCAGCGTGAGAATCTTGACCTAAAGTTTTGGAAGGATTTAGGTGGTTGAGTCACCATAGAAACAACCCTAGTTTATTGTTGGATGCCAGGACTTGTTCAGACTGGCAGAAGCTGTGCTCTAGATTAAGAACAGGACACTGCGGGTGGGGCCCGGCATGGCGTGAGTGTGGCCCGATGTCCACTCTGCACGGGGCTCCTTTGTGCCTTGGTGCCCACCCTTGGCAGTGCGGGTCCGGACAGGGGCAGGAGCCTTTGTTCTTCACTTCACTTCCTGCTTGGGGTCCAAACGAGATGCAGCTCTTACCTGATAAAGGCAGGGATGTCACGGCCTGCAGAGGGACCACGGGGACATTCCCTCACATGGCAGCAGCTGGGGGCCAAGGAGCCAAGGAGGCATGAAGTACGTACTCCAGGTGTGGCTTTGAGTGACCACTGCCCACATACAGCACATCCGTGACAGGCTCCTGTGGCCACCACACTGTGTCAACACCACGTGGCGCCAGCAGGCTGGGCTCAGCACAGATCCAGTCCCGGAGGCCCCCACAGCACAGGGAGTGTATGCCCACTCTCTAAGTCCCAAAGGATGAAGTCCTCTGAGGTCCGCCCATCAGCTGGTCCTCTGTGGTTCCCACATGTTCCATACACAATGGACCGTGGGACAGCGTCCTTCACTGCAGGCTGGGCCACCCTGACCCCATAGAAATAACTTCCCTCCTCAGCCTGCACCTTCAAAGGCTGGGCCACATTAGGGGGAACCTAAGTTTACTCACCTCCAAAACAAAGACACTTTCCCACGCCTGGGTATCTGCTCCAAGAAAGTTCTCCCAAATCCAAACCCAACAGTGTAAAGTTTTGATTTGTGGCTTCATTATTTAGAGTCATTACGAAGTAGATTAATTTTATCTATAGAATGGAATATTGTGTATCACAAAAATGTTCATCAGGCATTTTACTGAATAAGAAAAACGCACGTGCCCTTTTTTAAAGAATAAGACACAAGACACAAAACTAAATTTACATGTATTTATAGAATGAGCTCAGTTATATAAAATATGTGTAGAAAGTGCCTGCGAGAAATTCCAGTTATTATCAAGGCTTATCTTAGTTGGTACGTGTATAACATTTTAAGTAAAAGAATGTGATGCTGAGGTAGACTAATTCTTTTCCCTTTAAAAGCAGAACATATAGCCTTCAAGTCTGAGAAATGTTTATTTAGAGCTCTGTACAGATCTTGGGATAGAGATTAAAAATTTAGAATATGGATGTCTCGGCAGAGATTGATTAATGGTAAGACCAGTCAGGACAAGTCAGTGACGTAAGATGAGCCGGGACCCAGGAACTGAGCTCTGGGTAGCCCCAAGGTTCAAGGAATGAAAGAGAAAGGGCTGGACCGTGGCAGCCACCATGGAAAGCAGCTGCCTGGCTGGACCGGATCAGAGAGGAGTGGAATGAGCGAGTTCCACGGAGTTACACGTTGGGTAGAAGAGATAGAAATGGAAAAACCAAGGTCACTTGAAGTTCTGTGGCTTGGAAGATGGGAACAGCAATCCCAGGGATTCGGGAGGGAAATGGGAAGCAGGGCAGGACGTCAGGAGAAGACGCTGGGCTGGGTTTCATGCTCCAGTGTCACAATCTCGCCCTGAGGAAACTGCTCTGGCGGTGCAGTCACCTGCAGCCTCCATGGGGGCTCTGGGGTTCACCGGCAGTTATAGGACCAGGCCACCCTGTCTGCAGCTCCCGGCCAGTGCCTGAGCTTGAAGGGTCCTCAGAGTTGCGCCTCCTGCCCTGGGGACTCCCGGGGGCTGCCCCGTCCTCCTCTCCCCACTCCTCCTTGGAGGTCAGGCCTGCACCACAGCCACCGGCTCGCCTGCCCTTTTTGCCCTCCCTCCTCTTCCTCCACCAGCATCATCCCCGGGAAATTCCCATCCTTTGAACTCCAACCTGGCGCCTGCTTTTGGGGGACCAGAACCAGCGTGGGTGATAGCTGTGTGTCCAAGGAGGACTTATTTGGGAAGAAAACTACTGCACTTTTGAGGCAGCCAGGACTGAGGGACGAGGGAACCCCAAGAGCCTCCCCAGCAGCATAAGCACAGGGAGAAGTGGGGGACCAAGCTCTGAGGCGTCAGGAACCCTCAGACCTGGGAGGAAGTGTGGTCCCTCGGTGCAGCCTTGTAACTGGGAAGAGAATTCCAGGTAGGAAAGAGAAAGTTACTGAAAAGAAGGGAAACCAGGAAAGCCCAGGCACATAGCAGCCATGAGGGAGGACAGAGGTTTTTGAGGACAGAGGGTGACTGTGTCAGCATCTCAGAAGAAAATCTGATAGGGACCAAGACCCTGCAGTTAGAGACAGAAGTCGCACTGGCCGTCCAGGGTCACGTCCAGGAAAGAATGGGACGAAGAAGAACTTTAGTGGGCAGTAACAGGCAGTATCAGTAGACCCACACTGCAGATGTTTCACTGGGAAGAGGAGAAAAGTTGTCGAGCTATGACCAGAGGCAGTGAAGACCAAGAGTGTGTTTGCACGCATGTGTGTAAGACTTTAGGAAGACCTGACCATTTCTAGGCGAGGTCTTGAGAAAGAACCAGGGAATATTAAAATCCCACCAGCAGCGGGAGGAGCAGAGCTGCTGAGGCCAGGAGGCAAGCCTGGATTTCACTAGGAAATGCGCAGCCTTTTCCTGGAAACGTGGACCCCAGAGCCAGGTGGGACAAAGGGTGACCTGAGACAGTAACGACCCGACATCCTAGCCCCTCAGAAGTACAAAGCAAGAACGGCGCTTCTGGGAATAAAAGAACGGGATGGGAGATGTTTGTGCACAGAGTGGGGGTCAGGAGTAGCCGCTGCACATCCCAGGTTATCCCTAAACCATGTGGCAGGCAGAGGGAAGTCTCCCCTTCATGCATGAAATTGGGTCACTGGTCCACAAGGACTGAATGGCTCTGCTGGCCAAGTCATGATTGAATTTTCCCTCGAGCCTGCGTTCTCCTAGCTCAGGACCCCCAGAAACAGACTGGAATCATGAAGTGTAGAAAAAGGGCTCATCTATAGCTGTCTGTTTGTTTTGTCTGGGTGGCATTGTCCTCTGTTGTGACCATGGATGATGGAGGAGACACAAATGCCTGAGAACCACTGAGTGTAGTGGCCTCAGTGCTGGGGCCAGAGAAGAAAGGCTCTGTGTGCTGGGCCGGGTGCGGTGCTATGCAGGCCCGGAGCTATTACAGCCCTCGGCACTGCGACTACAAAGGAGACCTTTATCAGGACCGCTCCTGCCGTGTGGAGGCACACAGGAGGGGCGTTTTCCACGTGGAAATAATTGCTTCGCTAGGAGGTGCAGCCTCTCAGCATCTTACGAATGTGACCGGAAGCACAGAGCAGGGGCAGGATCGGACGCTCACCAGTGACAGGCGTGTGTCCAGCTCCAGGGAGGCTCCTGCTGGAGCTAGGGAGAGAAAAGCATTGCACATGCAGGGAGAAAAGCCCAAAGGGTTTCGAAGAGCCACCAATGGATTTGTATCCAAGTGTGCCTCATGCTGGCCAATGACCCCCGGGTCCTTCACCAGGACAAAGCTCTTTATGCTCAGGGCCTTGAAGTGTGACTCGGAGACCCCTTAGAGGTCCACACCGCAAGCCCGGTCTCCCTGTGTTGGGCCATGCAGGTGCTGGCGGCTGGCTTCCAAGCCGGTTTTATTCCCGAGCTGGCAATGAACGCAAGAGTGTCACAGGCAGAGATTTATAACCCTTTCTGATCCCACCCAGCCCCAAGTCACCAGATGAATAATCTTTCTCATAGCGCTCGAGGACTCTGCGAGCAACCCTAGCCAAGATCAACGGACTGAACAAACTGAAGGAAAACCCTTCCCCCCCCCCTTTTTTAAGAAATCATTTTTGCTGAAGTTTTTATAAACCTCATAAAAATTAAGGATCAGTTTGAATTTGGGAGAAAGACTCGCTTTATCTGGACTCATTTGCCAAAAATATTTAAATGAGCACATACTGGGTATAAACAGTCCAAGGAAATGGCATCATTACGGGTTCTCAGCCTTCCAGACCCCCGAGTCCTGCAGGTGTCAGTGGACCCCCACAGTGGAGTGGGGGGGGGGGCTGTGGCGGGGCAGCTCGCAGGCTGGGAGCTGGGACCCGCAGTGGGGTCCGGACCACAGTCCCGCTGGGAGCCCACAATGCCGCCCATTGTCGCCAGCAGGTATTGGCCAGGAGAGAGGCTGTCCAGCTTTCCAAACTCCCAGCACGGCCCCCGGCCTCGTTCTCCGCAAGTGTGTTTACTCAGCCTAGTAAAAACATGAAAAAGGGGACAAATCTCTGCCCACCCCAAAATGCTTCTCACCGCAGCTTTAAACCATGAAACATGCAGAAAGCAGAGAGAGCCCAGAGACAGTGGTGCCCCGAGCA